TGAGCATCTAAGGGGAAAAACGTCCTCAATTTAAACTTGCAGTTTATGCCTTAGAATGTATTGCCACGAGCACCTGCTGGGTGGGATTTTAAGCTCTAAAGAGCTATATTAGTGACCAGCTCGGAAGGAACTGAAGATGATGAGCTTAGAGGGAAGGGAAGCCACTTTCAAATAGAACGTGAAGTTCATTCTTCTCAGTTACACACATACGTACGCGATGACCGTGATCACATCTTAGCAACAAAGACCCGCTTGAAATGACGCCATCTTTTAAAATTCAGTTCTTCTCGTATATTATTATCCAAGCCTCTCTCTTCGCCTAAACTCATCACACAAAATCACTAGGGCTCCTTGGAAGGTGTTTAAGGGACCCATGTCCATCCAGGAGCCCGGGACAAATCAAACCACACGTTCCTTGCAACAGCTCTCTTCCCTCCGCCGCCAAAATTAAGGTAAATGTCAAGAATAGTGTTGAAAAAACAAACGTTCCTTGGGATCAGAGGAGTTACTGGCTGATGGGCTCACTTGAACCTCGGGCTGTTTGGGGCACTAGTCAGGGAGCCTCCTTCATCACCCCAACAACTGTTTTCTGAGTCATTGGCTTGCAGAGTGGGGGTCACCCACAGAGGACAGATTTCCTGGACCTTGGACCCACGAGAGACAGATCAGAACAAGAACTGCAGCCGGGGAGACCTTGCACGGGCACTAACTCTCCCTGGGCAGGACCTGCTATAAAACCATCTGATAGAGCCTGGAGACAATCAACCCCAGGCCCCGTCAGTCTGATGCCTCCTCCGCTTCAACTTTTCACCTGGAATCCCTTTCCTCTCCTGCCCTCTCCCTCTTCACGTGGTTCACCCAGAGTCCTGGAGAGGCAGGGCCAAGTGGTGCAGGGTCACTGGCTGGGAGTCAAACCGCAGACGATTTGTGTGCCTCTGCTGTGATTACCCAATGGAAAATCCCGAGGCATCGTTCTACATCCAGAGTGTTTAGCAACAAGTAATGTATTCTCGATAAATGGCAGGGTTTTTTCTTTTATATTAGGAAACAGCCGTGGAGGCTTTTTTTTAGTACTTATTAAATGATTTTATGACTTTAGCCACTATTTTTCATCAGGACTCTTTCGTGGCAATTGGCAGAAATCCAACTCAATCTAGTTTAAGCAACAAAAACCAAGGGGGAGAGATTTACTATGGCACAAAACTAGGAAATCCAGAGGTAGGCTGCTTTCAGGCACAGCGGGATCCAGGGGGTTAAGCGAAGTCATCAAGATACTGTTTCTTTCTTGGGCAGTGTCCCCATGAGGTGGCAAGGACTGCCACTGGCTCTCTAGGCTAACATTTTTCACACAGCTGGAAATCTTAGTACAAAGAGAAAGCCCCACTTCCGAAAACGCCCTGGAAGGGCTCCATTGCATGCTTATACCTAAATCACGTAGCCACACTGAAGAGGATGCCAGTACAAGTGGTAGGATCGGCCCTTTACAAACCACATGGGTGAAGAAGGGGATGAGGGATCTGTCCCCTCCTGGGAATGCACTTGAGTTCTGTAAAACATATGTTTAATAAACTTCCCACCCCTAATTCCTTTGAGGTCTGCCAGAGAGACGTGACAGCAGGAGGAGTGGTGTTGCTACTTGACAGCTGGGACGTTAATACTGTGACCCCAGGACAACCTAGATCTGAAATTGGTGGCACCTACAGGATATACGAGTTATGTGGGTACCCATGGGTTGTCTCAGGATGGGGCAGAGAACCCACAGAAAAGATTAGACTTCTTGGTAAAGGGAGGACAGCAGCTTGGAGCATCTGAGAGATTGCTATAGATGTGACTTCTTTTGTTCCCACAGACTGGCAAAGACCTAGACATCCTGGTTACATAGCAATGTGCACTATGTTGTTGAGAAATCAGACTGTGTGTGTTTGGGCAAAACAAGCAAAATATATATATATTGATAATTTGTGCCCTTTAAAGGAATTTCCCCTAACTGTCTTCAGTATTCAGCTTTGGTTTCTGTTTATACAAAGGTGTTTCCATTACCTGTAAAGAAAGATTTTGAATATGCATACAAAGAGGGAAGAGGGGAAAGAGAAGAGACCAAAGGAAATGAGGAGATTAAGCACTTTGGAATCTAAGGGGTTTAAATCTCTCAGGGGCGGCATGGGATGGGACACAAGGCCTTATGAAAAACTCTTAAATTTAAACATCCTAAGACCTTAAGAAGTTTAAACCTGTTACTTTCCGCCCTCCAGAGCAAAGATGTGGCTAATCAGAGAGAGACATTAAATAGTCATAGAGATAATCTTGTGTTTACGTGGCACAGGGTGTTAAGTTCTGACAGCGCCGAGCAGATGTGCCGAGGAGGGCAGCTCTGAACAAGGAGATGGCTGCTCTTGCTGAATGAGGAGCATGCATTTTACAGCAAAAAACCTTACAGCAGAACAAGTTGGTATAGGCTGTTCCAGCCTTTTGATTGTATAAATGGACATGAACATATTTTTATTCTGAAATAATTTCAAACCTACAGAAAAGTTGCAAGAATAATGCAAAGAATTTCCATAGACTCTTGACCCAGAGCACCGATACTGAGTATTTGTCACATTTGCTGTATCATCCCCCTCTCCCTATCCCACCCCCCATATGTTGTCCCTAGACCTTTTTTTTTTTGGAGCCTCTTGAGAGTAGATTGACTATATTGTGTCCCTTTGTCCCTTAAATCTTCCCTTTGTGTTTCCTAAAACAACAAAAAAAGGCTATTCCCTTACTAACCACAGTACAGTTATCAAATTCAGGAAATTTAACATTTCATGTTGATAGAGTATATTTATGTAAACTGCAGCCCATATCCCAGTTTTGCCAGTCGTCGCAATGAAGCCTTTACAGCAATGCTCTTTCCTGGCACTGGTTCCGTCCAGATTTGGAGTTTGCATTTAGGCATCATGCCTCTTTCATCCCCTTTCCTCTGGAACATTTCCTCAGCCTTTCTTTGTCTATCAAGACATTAACATTTTTTAAAGAATACAGGCCATTTATTTTATAGAATGTCCCTCAGTTTGGATGTGTCTGATATTTCCTCGTAATTCGTCTCAGGTAATGTGTTTGGGGCAGGACTAAGCTGCCGTGTCCTTCTCGGGGTATCCCAGTTGGAGGCATATGGTGTCTATTGCCCCTCATTGGAAACATTCATTCTGACCACTTGGCTAACGTGCTGTCCGATTTCTCTCCTGTGCAGTTATTTCATGTTGTACTTAATAATTCGTACAGAGATACTTTGAGATAGTGCAAGTGTCTGATTCCTCATCAGACCTTCCCCTCTTCCCTGTCTCCTGAAGCACTTAATGACCTTCTCTGAGTTGTTGCATAGAGTTTTGGGTTTTTCAAAATATTTGGAAAATATTTAGAGAAGCAAGCACACAGTCATTTCATAAATATTTGGCAGAACTGCTGGTACTGAGCAGAGCTAAGGCAACCTCAGAATCCCTCAGGGAGGAGACCTCAGGTCGGGGTCTGGGAGGCAGTTCAGTCATGGGAGGAGCAGGCTCAGTATGTGGAGAGCTGGCTGTCCTCCCCCCCGGGATGCCCTCTCCGGAGCCAGAGACATCAACACACAGCTGCTTCTCTCTGACTCTCAAAACTGTGAAACCTCAGCTAGGCACACTTTTGTGCAAAAGGACAAATAAAAAGGCAGGAGGGCTTCCCTGGTGGCGCAGTGGTTGAGAGTCCGCCTGCCGATGCAGGGGACACGGGTTCGTGCCCTGGTCCGGGAGGATCCCACATGCCGCGGAGCGGCTGGGCCCGTGAGCCATGGCCGCTGAGCCTGCGTGTCCGGAGCCTGTGCTCTGCAATGGGAGAGGCCACAACAGTGAGAGGCCTGCATACCACAAAAAAAAAAAAAAAAAAAGGCAGGAAAAGAAGCACATATCAGGACTTCCTGGGGAAAAAAAATCTAATTTCAGGATATAGTGGGGGTTTGTATATTTTGCCCAATCCCCTCTGTCCACCTTTTTTTTAAAAAAAATTAATTTATTTATTTTTGGCTGCATTGGGTCTTCGTTGCTGCGCGCGGGCTTTCTCTAGTTGCGGCGAGTGGGGGCTACTCTTCGTTGCAGTGCGCAGGCTTCTCATTGCGGTGGCTTCTCTTGTTGCGGAGCACGGGCTCTAGGCGCACGGGCTTCAGTAGTTGTGGCTCTCGGGCTCTAGAGCGCAGGCTCAGTAGTTGTGGCACATGGGCTTAGTTGCTCCGCGGCATGTAGGATCTTCCCGGACCAGGGCTCAAACTCTTGTCCCCTGCATTGGCAGGTGGATTCCTGACCACTGCGCCACTGGGGAAGTCCTCTCTCCTGTTTTTGTGCTCAAAGTATTTTTTGTTGAGGATAACGTTCAAAAGTTGTTCCTGTACATAGCATGGTATGAACCCAGATACATCCATTTCAGAAAAATCTTCAACAACAACAATTCTTTTAAAAAGGAGGTTTTCAAGGTTCATTTTCCAGTCACGAAAAAGTTTTTAAAAGCAGAACATACTGTTCTCTAGGACCCCAGTTAATCCAGATTTTGTTGCTTGTATAAAGTATTCATTTCCCTGAATGTTTTGCTGAATTTCATGAAGTATTGTCGTAGAACCTCAGGTTTTTTCAAAAGTCCTGTGTACCTGTGAATCCTTTTGCTTTGGAGACATAAAACTGCTTTGTCTTTTCAGGTTAACTCTGAAGGATGTTGAAAATACTTTGCCCACTCTTTTTTTATTGAAGTATAGTTGATTTACAATATTGTATTAGTTTCAGGTGTACAGCAAAGGGATTCAGGGTTGTTTTTTTTTTTTTTTGGATTATTTTCCAGTATACGTTATTACAAGACATTGAGTATAGTTCCCTGTGTTATACAGTAACTCCTTGTTGCTCACCTGTTTTATATACAGTAGTTTGTACCTGTTAATCCCGTACTCCTAATTTTCCCTCCCACCTTTGCCCACTCTTCTTGTCTCTCTTCCTCCCCTTTAGGAGTTAAAACAGGCACCACCCAGGCCAATGGTCAGATCCCCCAGGCAGCACATTCTATGAGTACTGTTCTCGGAGAAGCCCAGAGACAGGTTGAAACAACTAAGGTAAGACCCACTTCTATCAGACTGTCACCTGTAAGCCCATATCCTAAACCATTAGCAGTATTCTAATTGTTCTTTTAAAAAGAGAAAATAGAGTTCCAACAATTCAAAAGTCACTGTAATTTCATTTAGATAATTGCTTCATATATATATATATTTATCTCAAAGTTACATAGGCTAGGATGGAAAATTAAAACCAACTATCACAGCTTTGGGAAAATGTAAGAATTTTTTTTAATGCCCAGGATTGGTAACTATTTTTAGTTTAGCTACATTTATTTTGACTGAAGCGATTTTTTTGTTTGTTTGTTTGTTTAGTCAAGTGGTTTTAGCACTCTCTGAAAGTGGCATTTGCATTTTAAGCCCTTGGGATTTTTACTTATTTTTTCTGAATAAATTAGAGCAACATGTTAGTCAGAAGCCCTTTGTTAAATGCTATCTGGACCCCAAACCAGATTAGAAGAGTACTGACAGGGTCCCACTATAAAAGATTCATTACTGTATTTTTCTGTTAACGTTCTACGTATGTCCTCAGGGTGACAGAGAAGAAAACGCATTTTAAAATAATTTCCAAATTGGTGTAACATTCTCCGTAACTTTTTTTTTTAGTAGAGATTAATGAAGATTCATTTAAATCTATCTAAAAATTATAGCCAAAAGTTATAATTTAGTTATTAGTCCAATTGGTAACGACTTAATTGACTATACAGGTTCCACTGAATATTTCCCATGTATGATTCAAACCAGTCTTAAATGTGTTTCAGTAGTTTTCCACCTCATTCTCCCCTTTCATTTTGTCCAGTGGTGGGAACAGTTAAATCCTGTATTTATCGAGCTTCTTATAATTTTTGAAAACCACAATAGACCATTAAAAGGTGTGTTTCTCTAATATTCTTGTTAGCTTCTCAAGTCTGACAATCTCATCTTGCAGTGTACTTTCAGCGATTATTATTTTCATGGTTTTTGTAATGCCAACTGAAGAAAAACATTTTTAAATGCTGAAAGCAATAAAAGGATCCCAGAATAGAAATCACTTAACTATGCGTGAACACTAATTCCCAAACTGCCTGTTCAGAATTTTTTAAAAAATACATCACCAGTTAATTTCTTATGCTAAGCAGTTGAACTAAATAAAATAAACTCAATCATAAGGGCACTTTGTTAGGGGGAAAAAAAATTTCTAATCTCCAGTGGCAAGAGGTTATTAAGCAAAGAAAGAAATAAAATGAAAGCCTGATAAAATGTAAATTGCAATGATAATTATCACTAAAACAGAGGGATTCAGTTCAGCTGCCTGAAACTCCTGGGGGAAGTTGCATTATATAAATATGAGGTGAGCTAGCTCAGGAACAACCTGGAGTCTCAGGACTGAGGGACTGAGCCTCCCCCTCGGGGGCAGACGCTTCCTAAATCCGGAGACTCACCTGTCCGGGAACTGTCATGTCCACGTGGCCGTGTGGTCAAGAATAAATGCTGTTGTCGCTTTGTTGAAGGACAAGAAGTCCGGCCTCGGCAGCCACGACCCCGGAGCGCCCAGGTCCAGCCTGCCTCCGCCCCCTCCCGTGCGACGGTCCTCGGAAGTCGGCTGCGGCAGCCCAGGGACGCCCTCCAAGGTCAAGGGCGCGGCCGCCGACTTCCCCGCGCCGCCCCACGACCTCCTGCCGCCGCCCCCGCCGCCGCCGCCCCTGGAGGACGACGAGCTCCCTCCGCCGCCCCCCGACTTTAGCGACGCGCCCCCGGACTTCGTGCCTCCTCCACCGCCGCCGTCGTTTGCGGGCGACGCGGGGTCCTCGCTGCCGCCGCCCCCGCCCCCGCCCGCCCTCGCCCCGGAAGCCGCGAAGCCGACCCCCGTGGTGGTCAAAAGGCCGCCAGCTCCCCCCAAGAGGCAGGCGAACCCGGGACCACCGGGCGGGGGAGGCGGGGAGCAGGATTTCATGTCGGATCTCATGAAAGCTTTGCAAAAGAAGAGAAGCAACATGCCCTAAGGGAAGCCTAGAAGTATCTTTGGGTGATGGGTGTAATCATTGCTAACCTCAATTGCATTTTTGCTACTTTGTTTCCGTGACATCTTGTTCATTTTAGATACAATATTGAAGTATTCAGACTAGAAATGCAAATAGGAAACGTCTCCCTGTTTCTCAAGTACATTCATAATCCTTAACCTAACACAGAATTTAGAATATCTGCCTGAATGTACATATGTTTCCTGTGTATTTCCACTTCAGTGGATTTTATCTTCCCTTCCAAGTTAAGTAAAATGATGTTTTATGTTCATTTATTTTATTATGTTATGAAGCATCAAATTAATAAAAGTTAAAATTTTTTTCCTTAAGATGGTATTTCTAGAAATATCAGTATAAATCTAGTGCAATATCAATTCTATTTTATAATATACTTGACCTTTTAAAAATCCTAGGCCTTCTAAAGTCTTGTTGATCTTCGACATATTTTCCATCTCCATCTCAGTGATCTCCAGAACTTTCAGGAAAATCGAAAGAAGAAAAAGAAAAAACCAGGAGAGGTAGAGTGAATTTAGTTTCTTTGAGACTCATTGCTTGATTGATTGGAGTCTTGGACATACCCTAGTTTGGTTTTGGTTTTCTAATGGTTGAATAACATAGTAATTGGGGGAAAAAATAGTGTTTTACATAGTTTTTGGATTCTGTTATTATAATGCTATAAGTTGCTATAAATAAAAATCTAGAGACAGGAAAAGGCAATCAAATTATATTCTTCAACCAGGAATGTTTTCCCTCAGATAAATTTAATGCTTAATTTTAACAACCAGTTTATCTTAAGTTCCTATTACCCTTATCTTCTCTTTCTAATTGGCTTCTGAGAGTCCTTTTAGATTTTCTTAGTTTTATTTCCATGGTTCTGTTTTTTTTTTTTTTTAATGTAAAACACCTCAAAATCTTCTTAAAGTGGGTAGAAAATAATAGCTAATGTGTTGGACTTCCCGGGCGGTCCAGTGATTAAGACTCCGCGCCAGTGATTAAGACTCCGCGCGAACTAAGATCCCACATGCTGGGCGGCGTGGCCAAAAATAGTAATAATAACTAATGTGTTATTTTCTACTTAAGGAAGATAATTAATCTTATGTTTTAATATTTGGAAAAAAGTGAGCTCTAAATTGACACTTAAAACAACAATGAAAAAGCAAATTCACATTTTAAAACCAAAATATTTAGTAATTAAAACTGGTAAGGTGCACTAAATTTTTCCTGAGCACTGGGACCCATCGCTATGGAAAAGGAGGGCTCAGAGAGTAGGACCTAGGGGACTGGGGAAGGGAAAGAGAGAGATGTGGTTGTTATGGGCTTCACAGATGACCCCCAAACCATCAATTCAAACATATTCCTAACTTAACAGAGAAGAAATGAGGCCTGAAGATGTGCTTAACCTACATCTCACAGAGCTGGGTCACCGCCTGAGTCTCCTAACTTCTATCCATACTGTACATTTACTTTATGGGGAAAAATGATAAAAATTCAAACATTAAAACGTTTGTGAGTTTTAGCATTAGATAATATATATTTTAGAAAAGCTATGGAAAAGAATTAACTGATTTTGTGGTCAAAATATTGATATAATTTTGGTGGACTGAAAGGTTGAATGCACTGTCTCTCTCCATCCCTGCGCCTTTATTACAGGATATAAAAGAAAACATTAGGAAATGGATGGTCCAGATGGTCCTTGCTTTGCAGAGTTCAACATGCACAAGTTTCAATTACCACAATTTAGTTAAATAACGCTAGTCCCCAACATGGTTCACATTTGCTGCCATGCTATTTTAACTAGTAATTAGTTTTAACTAGTAGTTAGTAATTATGCGAAGTACAAACATTGCTATTAGCTCTTCAATCCACAAATCACTACATAAATAACAGATACATATCATGAACAGTGACCAGTCACATCCCTTCTTTCAACACCATTAGGGATTGATCAATTGATCACTGCATATTTGTTATTCAGTTTATGCACAGACAGAAAAGTGTCTTAAGGTGATATGGTATTGTATGTATGTGTCTTAAGTTATTAACGTTTAGAGATACAGAAATATTCATAGATTAAATGAAACTATGTCTGGGAATGTCTTTAAAATACTTGGGGATATATAAATTATACTTCAATTAAAACAATAACTAGGAACAAGGGGGAGGTGTGTAGGGGTGTACATGAAGCAAGATTATCATGCATTGATACTTAGTAAGCTGGTTGAATGGTAAATCAGGTTCATTAAATGATTCTTTTATTTTGGTAAATGAAAATTACTATAACAGACAAAAAAGCTTGAGGAGTACAATTAAATTATATTCTTATTTGATGTGCCCCAAATTGCTGGATACATGGTATTAGATGAAAACTTACAAATTCATTAAAAGATTTGTTATAAGATTTTTTAGTTATTGAGAATAACTCAGGTAGTTATTATTCATTAAATTGATTGATTAAAACAAAAATGACCACAAACATGTTCCAGAGAATAGGTCCACTTTATTTGGTTAAAAAATGTTTTTATATATAACCATTATTATGAAATACAGGATTGTCAAGAAAATGTAGGTGGTCATTAAGAATTTGTCAAATAGATTATTCTATGCTGGGTTCGGTGATAGAAGTATCCCTTAATTGATTTTCCCCAAATTAAGATGAGCAGCTAACCCTGAGATCTTTGGCCCAGGAAGGAGTAGGTGAGGAATAGCCTGCTGTCTCAGCTGCAGAATGCTTCTGGAAAGGACGGCGAAGAACTTGCTGGAGGAGATGGACCTGGTAAACAATTTAAAGTAGATAAATATAGATTCTCTTAATCAGGACCCTTATTAATTTTCTAAATTTCTGAAACGACAAGGTAAATTTTAAATGTGCATGAAAATGTTTAAACATTTTATGTTTCATTAAAACTTCAACTATAGCTGTTACTTAAAATTTCTATTATTCCAGAGAAAGTTCCTTAAGTAGTAGTTTTTTGCTGAAACAGGAGAGTGAATATGTACATCATCACAAAGAATACATATATTTCCCGATCATTTCTAAATTCCTTCACAGCATTAAGAGAATTATAATTTTCTAAAATATTTATAAAAATAAAAGGATGTCAATGATTTACACTCTTTCCAAATCAAGGGCATGGATTCCAACTCATACTGCTTCATTTGCAATTTTGTCCCACGGTATAAACTGAGGGATCAACAAACACACCTCTTTCAGCAATAATTCTAGGATCAAAATGTATATTTTCATCCAGTTATAAAAATAATTAAGTCGTGGGGATGTAATGTACAGCATGGTGACTATAGTTAATAATACTGTATGTATATTTGAAAGTTGCTAAGAGAATAGATCTCAGAAGTTCTCATCACAAGAAAAAAAAATTGTAGCTGTGTATGATGACATGTTAACTAGACTCATTGTGGTGAGCATTTCACAAGATATACAAATATCAAATCATTATGTTGTAGACCTGAAATTAACAAAATGTTATATTTCAACTATACCTCCATTTAAAAAGTATATATAATAAATATTATACCTATCTAATCTTACCTACTAGTTTAAAAGCTCCCTGAATAGATTTTTATACTTCTCCACAGCAACTCGCAGAGGGTGAATTCTCAAGAAATGTTTGATGCAGGAATGTAAACACAAGGTGTATGTGTAAAGAGTTATAGGTCTAAAAGTTTAACAAGATCTTTTTCTTTTCCTGCATGAGAATTTAACCCTTAGTTAACTTTCTGGATCTGTTCCCCTGGTAACCTGATAAGGTGGTATATGTATGTCCACTGTATCACCATACAACACGGCTTATGACTGACAAATAGCATTTGTCCTGGGAGAACTGTAAACACCTGATAGAATGTGTTGGACTTTCTTTGGTGTAGGGACTCACGGTATAAGGCAGGTCTATTGTGGGGATGTTGGAAACTATGCCCATGGAGCTGTTAGAAGAGATACTGGTTTCTGTAGAACATGCAGCTTTTCAGCCAGGGCTGCCCTGCATCTTCCCAGTGTGGATCGTGTCCCCCTGCACCTGAGCTTTACCGCTGTACCTCCCTGCCTGCGTGGATGCTTCAACAACTCCTGCAAAGGAGGAACCTAATGGTGCCCTGCTGGTAAGCTATGTTTCTGTCCTGTATCTTTCTGAATTAAGGGGGGCCCAAAGCAGCCTGTAATAGTCTTATGAATCTGAACGTTTACTTGGACCTAGGAAGACACCTCCCCACCCAAGGTGGGCACTGCATCCTTACTCAAATATAATTTTGAGGGAAGGGAGAAAACAGGGAGGGAACAAAAGAGAGGGAAGGAAGGTGAAACAAGGTAACAAAAACATCTTATTAAACACTGTTTAGTTTCCCCAGCTTAGACTAATTTATCTAAAGATAAATACTGAGTTAGCTTCCTTCTCTTTGTTTTTCCTTAATACCCTAAAAAGATTACACTTAAAAATAGTTTATTTTCTAAAATGAAAACCTAGATTTGTCAGGCTAATTAAACTACTGAAATGTAAAGTTAATGCAAGTTCCAAATTAGAAATAGCAAGAACAGTTTCTCTGTCGTGCCCACTCTGATCAGTTGGTAGTGACTACACAGCATGCTGTGATGAGAAGGATCCTAAGGCTGTGACCCATTTGAGAGAGAAAGGGGGCTGCGATCATTAATAATGTCTGTTCCAGTGCAGGACAAAAGAGTGACAGCAAGAGTGCTGGGGGCTATTCCTCTTCTAAGAAATACACTGTGTGCAATGCATTTTTAAACAATTAACTAGGAAATATTTGAGGCATAGAAGAAGGTATGCAGAATAATATGACAAATACCTGTGTATCCTCCACTCAGCTTCAGAAATAAAATGCTTCCAATATGGCTGAAGCCTTGAATATCCTTCCCTAACTCGAATTTCTTCCTTACTGCAAATCAATCACTGTCCAAAGATGCTATCATCTTTATTCATTTTGTTACTTTTATTATATATGCATATATCCCTAAAGACATGATTTTACATGTTTAGATTAAATTGGGGTGGTAACACATTGTATGTATTCCTTTGCCACTTGCTTGTTTTGCCAAACATTATATGTGAGATTCATACAAGCTGATGTGTATAGATCCAGTGCATTCATCTTCCCGGATGTCAAGATTTCATTTCATAGACCCAGGTTGCTAGTGCCATAGATGCCTGGTAGATGCAAAAGCTAATTCCCTCTGGAGATATGCACCCTCAAATCAGCTTCACTGGATTTCTGAGGTTGAAATCCAAAATCCCTAAACATAAACAATGACTAGCAGAACCAGACCCTCAGAAGTTCAATTAATGTAGATATGATATCAAATGAATATTTAAAACTTTAAACACATTAAAGAATAAATTTTGAAATACGAGAAAATGATTCACTGATTAAAAAAAAAGAGAGACCAGGTAGTGAGAAGCTGGGAAGCTGGTGCTGGCAAAGGTATGGTTTAGCATATCTGCAAACAAAATCAGGGTGTTTAAAGTATGATACATTTTTTTGCGGTACGCGGGCCTCTCACTGCTGTGGCCTCTCCCGCCGTGGAGCACAGGCTCCGGACGCGCAGGCCCAGCGGCCACGGCTCACGGGCCCAGCCACTCCGCGGCACACGGGATCCTCCCGGACCGGGGCTCGGCAGGCGGACTCTCAACCACTGCACCACCAGGGAAGCCCGTAAAGTATGATACATTTTAAATTAATAAAAATAAGCCCAGAAGAGTCAATCAACTTACCTCTGAAAAATCGTTCCTTTCTGCTTTTTGCACTGCAGATTCCACCATCCAGTTCTTCAGCACGTATCTAGGATTAACAGCTTAAACAAGAGGGGAAAGTTCATCATGGAACAATAATTACTACGTCGACACAGGCCATGTGAAATTACCGCTGAAATGACATAACCTTTAAGAACTTTGCCGGGAGGCTCAAATGAGAAGAATGATTAGCATCAGTCATTCTGATTGTTGATAAACAATATACAGTATTTATCACCTTATGGTACAGGAAAAATGGTTTTTTCACATCATGAGCAATATTATGTTTTATTTTTCTTTTCAGTGTTATATCATTAATTTGGTTTTCACCATATTCAGTTCACTAAGCATTTTATAAAGCTGGGAGAAAGCAGAAGATTCATCCTGTAGCCCAAATGAAGGGAGGAAAAAAGTTGCTGCTTTTAACATCTTCAAACACAGAATTCAGGTCTGACTCAGTAGGACTGCTTAATGCTGTTGTTGCCAAGAGCAAATAGGAAAGGTTACATGCAGGCAAAACTCTTTGTAAATTTATATTTTTTATAGTAACCATGCATTTTTTCATACTAAAAAGTATTATAGGGACTTCCCCGGTGGCACAATGGATAAGAATCCACCTGCCAATGCAGAGGACATGGGTTCAATGCCTGGTCTGGGAAGATCCCACATGCCACGGAGCAACCAAGCCCATGTGCCACAACTACTGAGCCTGCGCTCTACAGCCTGCGAGCCACAACTACTGAGCCCATGTGCCACAACTACTGAAGCCTGCATGCCTAGAGCCCATGCTCTGCAACGAGAGAAGCCACCGCAAGAAGCAGCCCACGCACTGCAACAAAGAGTAGCCCCTGCTCACCACAACTAGAGAAAGCCTGTGCACAGCAATGAAAAACCAACACAGCCAAAAATAAATAAAATTAAATCTTAAAAAAAGAAGTATTATAATAATGGCACATTCCAGAAATTATGTTTTTATTTGAGATGAGACTTTTCCAAGATAATTTATCAACTAGGTGGAAAGGAGGGGATGTTTATCCTCACTGGCCTGAAAGAAATTCCGAGAGGACTCCAGAAATCACTGTTTTGTGATTCTCAACAACATTTTTCTGAGTTACTTGAATGGAGGGAACATACAAATTCCACTTTGACTTGGTTTTAAAGAGCTGCCAAGACATGACAGATAATCTAAAATACAAGTGCCCTGTGACCCAGTAATTCTACTTCTCTAGGAATATAGTCTATGGGAACAAATTTAAACATTAAAAAGCATTATTTATATTAAGGAAAACTAGAAACAACTTAAACGCCTATTAATAGGGGACTGGTTAAGTGAAACATTACATACCCTTTCAAAGATATATTATGCAGTCATTAAAAATGTTACATTATAAAGAATGAAGTAGTCAGGGGAAATGTTTATTTTTAGTGAAAAATGAAGGATCTAAAATTATACCATAATATGATTACTACTACATTTTCTCCTAATCAATACACACAGAAAAAGAGAGACTAGAAGTGTCAATAAACGCATGGAAAAGTGAATAGCAACTGTGGTTGAGTGATGGGAATCTTTTTATTCTTTCTACAAGTTTGCATCTTCCAAATTGTAAAGAATTCATGCAGAACTCTTTTAAAATAAAAACACATATACACAATAAATATATATAATCCTTAGACGAAAAGGAAACTGACATGCAAGGGAAATTGTGGAAGCAGTTGACTTAGGCAGAGGGAGAGTGGAGTCACCCAATTAAAAGTTTAACAAACTTCACCAACACTTTATAGAAACCTGGCAATGAAATACTGTTAAAATATGCTGGGACTTGTAGCTGCAAGCAGAAGTACTTTGGATCAAATTATGTGTTGATATATACAAACTACCTGAAATCAGAAAATTGTAGATCTGTTCATAGGATTCTTTGAGGTTATCTAATTCTGTACATTTTTTTTATCTCGTCTGGAACTTTTTCCCATTGCTCATTGTGGAAATTAATTTTTCCTTTCCTTGAGAGTACACTGTTCAGCATTTATTATTTCTCTAAAATAATTCAAAGCTTCAGCCTTGAATTCACTAAATGTCTTTCATTTTACCATCTCATCCATCCTGTCATAACCAAACAAATCCAAATCCTAAAGACAGCCACGACGTTTTCTTCTCTCAATTTCTTTTTTCTCTTAATTGCTGATATAGTCCATATTGAGCTGGCCTATAAATTCTGTATGATTGCACCAATGAACATAAGTGGCTGGCAGCTAAATCCATGCTAAGCCCCAAAGACTGATTACTCACTTCCTTGTAAAAACTCAGCTTGCTTTTATTTCTACAATAGTGTCCTGAGTCAAGAAGCAGTCTCATCCTCTAACTTAACATGGAATATTAGCATCATTCTTATTTCATCAAATGATCAGCCGCCCTGATGACACACACTAGCTCTCCACACCAGTCCTAAGTAAGGTAAGAGTACTCCAGGACTTGAGTACTTCTGTCTTAACTTCTTTGATCTTCTTAGAACCCACGTTGCAAAAAGGACTAACTTCCTTTTTTTTTTCTTCTCCAAGCCAAGTGTAAAGTCACATGGTAAACTGAAAGCAGTATATAAAGGTGATTTATTTTTAGCACTACCATTTACTAGGTGTATATTATGGCCCAGGCACTGTAACAAGATAACTTACATATATTATTGCTCATCGTTACAACATCCCTGCAAAATATGCCCATTTTGTAATAGCTAAGGGCCTTGAAAATTGGAAAGTTAAATATCTTTCATATTATACAGCAAAAAAGTGGCAAGATGAGGTTCATCTGTCAGATTCCAAAACTCACGTTCTTTCCACCATAAACCACACCACCTTCCTTGTCTCTCCACCATCTTTTAAGGCCATATTATTTTAACATCAATATGCAAACTTATTGAAAGCAGGGCTATCATAATCAAGTTAAAAGTCATCTGAAATTAGAAAGGCTCATATATGACACTTCAACTCAACTAAAATACACTCATCTAGAGTTTTTGTAGTTAAAAACAAAACAACAAATCCAGTTCCCTCAAGTAATTACTTCCAGTTTTCCAGGTTTTGAAAACTGGGAGTAATTATTTCCAGTAATTACTTCCTGTTGCTTTTATGTAATAATCCTTCAAGCTGAAAAAATCAAAAGGATTACCTACTTGTCATTCTTTTTCTTCTTTCAGAATCTGAATCATTCATGTTACTAAAAATGAACAGAACAAAGAACAGAATTAATCACTGTCTCCCCAAATCATATCGTTTTTCCAAAAGGGTGAGAATTATTTCACAAGACAAATATTGAAAAAAAAATTTTAAATCACATTGAATCAGTGTCTGAAAGGAAGACAGAAAATCCTGTTTGATTAAACAATATATAAAATACTACCGTATTTCGTTATTTTAGATAATACCAAAATTTTTATTTTTACCAATTAAAAAAATACTTTTGTCTAAAAAAATATCTAAACTTGGGCTTCCCTGGTGGCGCAGTGGTTGAGAGTCC